GAAGATGATCTCAAGATGGTGTTTCTTTAAAAACACAAAGGCTTCTTATGACCAACACAGTTACATGAATAGCCCAAAGAATTTGATCAATTGCCACAGTTTGTTTCCATGGTTTGCCATCCCAGACTTTCACCTGTCAGTCTGTAATTTTCCAAGTGACCAGCTGAGTCATTGATAATATTTCATGAGTCAGTAAAGATATAACAAGGTTTATCATGGGGAGTTCAGGCCAGAATTATGAGAAGGCCCTTCAATTCTGCCAACTGATTGAACAAAGTGACCAAATCCATTTCTGGGTGAGCATAGCTGGTGCTGAGGCTGGAAAGTAGTAGGTAGCTTAGCTGACCCATCAGTGAACCAAGCCCATGCATTAAGGCAACCTCTATGAACTGAAGGCCTCACTGAGCTAGAGGCCTTGTTTCTAGAGGTAAAGTTTCCCTGAATTGGAAGCTATACTTGTTCAAGTAAATCTAAGGTGCTATTGGGTCAGAATGGCAACTTACCATGTCCATGTGATAAGCAGGGGTCCTTCCAATCTTACTGGTCAGAGAGTTCAAGTTGACGAATCTCAAACTGAGATAATTCAGGTGGGACACATGGCCCCATGAATCAGGCTTCAATTTCAGTTTCCATAAGAATTTAGTAGAAGATTAATAGCTGCCCCACCGCCTTGTGTGTGCATGTGTGCGTTTGTGTGCGTGTGTGTGTGTGTGTGTGTGTGTGTGTTTCAGGGGGAGGTGGTCGTTTTTTGTTTGTTTGGTTTTTTTTGCATCAGACATATAGTGTTGTGTTGGGAAAAGGCCGGGTGTTCTTTCAGCTATTAAGTATTTAAGTAAGCTGTGATTTCCCCTTCTCTTCCTGGGATTCTGTATTGTTTCTGGACCACATGGGAGAAAACAGGGATAGTGCTCTGTATGTCCTACTATTACTGCTCTACATGTGCCAATCCCTGAATGGGAGATCTCCATTTTGGCACTAATGGGACAAAGAAGTGCAGGCATATAACACATCAATTCCATTATATGTCTAACAGTGGAAACATTAACAGCATTACCTTGCATTTGCCCAAAGGTCACATCTACAAGACCAGTATTCACAGAACCATAAAGTTTGGGCGCCTCCCTCTCAAAGTTCCCCAGCATATTCAAGGGGCTCATGTAGCATTTGGTCTCTCCAGAGAACAAAAAGATCTCAGGCCTAGCTGTAGCCATCTTTCTCCTTAAAGTCAGAATAGAGGGAGGAAGCATCAAAGGGCATGGGAGCAGAGAGCAGCTTTGTGCCAGTAATAAGGTACAGTAGTTTTCAGTTTTGAGCAGTGCAGTGATTACTCATGTTTTAACCAAACTTCCAGTGTCCACCTGAAGCAGTATATAAGGTGAGTCATCATTATGAACACAATCTATTTAGATTTGGGGAGTCTGACTCAGAAGCCATAGCCTTGACTCTCACAACAGGGACTCTGTTATAGAGGAAATCTCAATCTGGAGTCTAATTATGAATCTGGTTTGAACATAAGGGATGGTGAAGTTTTCTAATTTCAAACAGTTTCACCAGTATTATAAACCAGTTAGGACCCAAATACTCATCAGTGGTTTCTCACATGAGTTTGTCTATCTCAAGAATATCTTCTTGACAGGACCAATATTCCCTTAGAGCAGCAAAGACCCTCTACAAAAAGCTGAGGTCCTGTGCTGTCTGAATTAATGTAAAGTTGGCACAATAAACTACAATAGAGGTTGAGTTGAAAGGCAGCCCACCTGTTGCTATTTCTCCTTAACTAGCGTTCTATGCCTTGCCCCATTATCTCTTCAGTGAACCAGCCAGAGTTCTAAAGATTTTACCAGGCTTCTTGCCATGGCATTTGTAAATTCCCTCCCTTCATGCTCAGTGTGGGTGTGTTTCTCTGTAAGTGTTGTCTGAGCAAGGTTAGCGCTTTCCTCTAACCCAGAATTGTTCCACATACTAGCTCATATAGTCCATCATGATTTTTGTGCTGACACCTCAAGCTACACTTTCCAAAGAGTGATGAGAATAGGGCCAGATAATGTCTATACACATAGACATGACAAGGGAGGACCCTAGAGCATGGGTAACCTGCGTCTTTTATAACAGGCAGCATTACTGCCCTTGCTCCAGAGGGAAAGACTATCTCTATCTCCAAGGCTGTGTTCATACACAAACACTTGAAAAGATAGTTCCGATTAAAGAGCACTTCTGCCAATTATTATTTAATGGGGAAAAAATTAGAAATTCAGCTGATTTTACAAGTTTCTAGAATATTATTCAATTTACCTTTTCAAAGACTTTCCAACCACTATTCCTTTCTATATACTCTGCTCTGCAGGTAAACTGGCCTTTTTATTTCTTTGAATATATACAATATTGAGCTGGTTTCTCCATTATAGAAAACAAACAAAAATAACAAAAAAACTTCTTGCAATCAAATTTGAAACCATGAATCTCAAATTCATGCTTTTACTTTGTATGTCTTTAGCTGTGATGATTCTTTTATACTATGGTTATCTGGTCTTTTGACAGGTTGCCTTGAAAATGATTTAAATTCCTTACCATATATACTTATGGTTCCCACAGCAAAAGAGCAAGCTTCCTGGAAGCATAAACTGTACTTTTCCATGACTCAATAGTCCCAGTTCAATTCCTCTTAATAATGTTACCCACTTACTAAGACATAAATGTTATTGTCTTTAAGTCCCTGATAAATATATTCTATGTGAGGAGGGAACCAGTGAGCCCTATTTTTCCCACTGAGACCCAGAACTGAACAGCCAACAGACCAAAGTAGACCTCTGTAATTCAAATGTCACACCGCAATTTCAAGTTGGCAGCCTTCCTTGAGTTTCATTTTTCTTTCCAAGGAAACAATGAAGCACTTGTTCTAATGCCAACAGAAGAACTGTGGGAAGAGACTAAGAGATTTGTATTTTCTTGAATTTTATCTGCAGAAGAGAACAACTACAGTGACCAAAGTGATACATATTATCATTGTTTTAATAATTCTATAATTATACAACTAATTAAATCTTGGAAAATATGGTGTGTTCATATAAAAACTGACTCATATGATTACAAAAATGCTAATAGGTCATTAAATAGAACCAGAACCATATATTAATATATATTACATATGTTATAATATATATTATAGAATATATACTAAAAATAAACTAAAATCAACAAAAATGTCATTGATGGTATTTCTATGGTTTATCTATCAATTGATAAGAAAAATAAATCTATCTTACAAATTCCTTGGAGGGAGAATAATTCAACCCCTTTCCTCATTTTTGGCTATCTGGTGGTTCTTGGCAGCAATACCTTTTTGCAAATCTCTGCAACACCAGGACTTTATATCCGTTTTCCTGGCATCTTTAAACTGGACAAGTCCAGCTCTGATTGCAGCTAACCCCTTCCCCACAAACTCCCATAAGCCTAGGTTGTCTATCACGCATATTCTGTTTCAGTAGGTCTGTGGCTCAAGGTAGAAATCTACCATTGTAAAGAAGTACCATGAGATCCTCACATTGAGGCAAGTTTGAGACACAGGTTCTTAAGTCATTTTGTAAGTCCTTGAAGAGCAGGAACTATTCATTTTATATCTTCATAACTGCTAAATCGAAGCAATTCTACATGGCAGATTTTAACCTTTTTCATTAAATATTGAGTTGATACAGGGTACTTTGTAACGTATAGAAAATATAACGAATAATGTTGTAACCATCACCAATGAACTAATAACCTAGTTCAAGAACAGAAGCAGAAGCGCTGCATTTTAATTATGGTCCTCCATATGTGTGTGTCTCCTTGAACCTATTCCAAACTCTTACCCTGCAGAGCAAATCTGCTTTTGTCACTCTCAATTTTCTCTAGTTTTTAAAACATTTTTATTATAACTAAACAACGTGTTATTTTTTTTACAAGATTTTAAACTTTGTATAAATGAAATCATATTGTTTGTATTCTTCTGTGCCTTTTTGTTTTTAATGGTACACTCCTCAGAGTCCAACAGTTGTTGTGGCTTGTTGAAATAACTTTTGTATATTACCCCACTGTATGACTGTACTACAATATATTTACCTTTTCTCTTGTTGATAAAGATACCAGTTGTACCCAATTTTTTTCTATTTAAAAACAGTATTATACATTTATTATAGCTCATGTGCAGGTGTTTAGTAAGAAATATAATTGTTGATTCAATTTACTAGATAATTGCCAAAGGTTTTTCAAAGTTGTTGGGCCAATTTATGTTCCTATGTACAGAGAATAAGAGGTCCTTTTACCCCACATTCTTGCCCAAACGTAAAATATCCCATTTAAATCAATTAGGTAGGTATGAAATATTTCGTTTTGGTTTTTCATTTCCACATCCTCATTGCTTATATGGTTAGGCATCTTTTCATATGTTTCAGAAAAAGAAAAAAAAACTGACTTCTCTTTTCAACCTCCTCTCTCTTACTGGCAGCTAAAGATAATGATAATTATTTTAGGTATAGTATAACACATTTGTAGACATTTTGGCATGTCCACCATATAGACCATGCAAGTAAGTACTATGATAATTCAAAGATATATGCATTTTTTAAAAATTAAGAACATTGTATTAAAAGAAAATTGCTGGATTTAAAGACAATATAAGTTACTGTGTATGCTGTATTATACCAACATCATACAGCTCTGTTCTTAGATGTCTTTTGTTTCTCTTTAATAATAATTACAAAATATTTAAAGTATTAGGGGTTAAAAACATCCATGGTTAAATATTAGGAAGTGAGTCCAGTTCTGCAACTAAGATATGTAGACTCAAGTTTCATAATTAAATGTTATTTTTCAAACAATAATCCTCAAACTATTATTCAACATTCACAACACACAGCTCTAGAGAAGATCTTGTGAGCATAAAGCTAGTTAAGACAGAGACTATTTCATTTCACACACGAAGCAGGAAGGTACAGATACGCATTATTCCCCACCAGAAAACAAACCTTAAGGAAATAGTTGTTATTGTTATTGCAGTTGCCAGACACTCCTTGCAAGTCAGCCACCGTGTTCTAAAATAGTTGACAACAAAAATTAAAGAAGGATTTACCCCACTAAAGAGAGCAGCCTAATGGTAAAGGATAAGAAACAAAACACTGACGCTCCAGTGCCTGCTGTAGCACACACTTTCAAGAACTAAAAGAATGCCCCCACTCTTATAAACACAGAATAAAGTCAATTCACATTGTTAAAAAGCCATCCATAATAACTGCAATCTCTTGTTCACACAACACAAGCTGTTTTCAACCAGGAACAGCAAACAGCATGAGTCAAATATAATGCTATCCCTTTAATGCTTTTCACATAAAAATTCTGTTCTTGTAAATCTTTTAACACTTGTGCAAACCATAGCTTCCATTATATTTTTGCCTTCAGTTATTACATTAACACAAGCAATGAAAATGCATATACATGTTGGTAGCTGCTCCAAATTGTATTCAGTACTTTTAAAGATTCTAAAAAATTAACTAATATTGTTATAATATAGTTATAATGATATTAATTTCCAGTAATGGAAAGAAATTATAGAAAGATTAAATTCTGTTTTAAAAAAAATGGGGCCTCCATTACTGGAGTGATGATTAACATAGTTATGAACTACTGCCTAAAGAGTCTTTGAAATGCCATCTATAATCTAAGCCTTTAAAATGTAATAAATAGTATAGTTTAAAAGGATATAGAAAGAGGCAAAAGCAAAATAATCAGATAACTTTAAATGTGCATGTAAAATAGCTCATTTTAATGTAAATGACCATATTTATTTTCTAATTTAAAAAAGTGGTACAGTACCAGTTCAGACTTCATTTCCAGTCTGAGCCCACAGCGTTTCACGTTGCAAAATACACTCTGATAGAGATGCCCCAAATATGCATAGAAGACCCACAGTACACAAACCATGCCAGAATTATATCATCTCACCACTCAAATGCTAAAGCTTGATTGTTGTGGAGTATGACGGGAGATTTAACTTGTTATTGAAAATTAAAATCTAGTTGGAAAATTTACCATACCCCAGAATATCATGGGACAGTGTTAACTGTTTGAGGGTTTTTACTGAAATCCTCCATGGTTACTATTCAGATTGTTAAAAAAAAAAAAAAAAAAAAAAGAAAGAAAGAAAGAAAAGAAAGAAAAAGGAAGGAAGGAAGGAAGGAAGGAGAAATGAACAATAATTCTATTAAATCCAGAAATGCAAACACTAAACACAGATCTACATTTAACATTTTTCAATTTTTCAGATATTTGTCTTCCTCTTCTTTGTAGGATCTCTTTTATTCGTTAGCCTTTAGGTAAAACCATTTTCACAAGACATTTTTAAAAGCCACTTTTGGCCTAAGGTAGAGCCATTTAAAAAGCCACTTTGCTTTTAAAGAATCAGAATGTTTAACATCGAGTGTAAAAAGATATAGGAATGCAAATTATGTTGAATTGGTTGTTTGCTTATTATAAACTCTTCTAGTTTAAACACTTGGAGAAGATAAGCCTATAAAAATGCAGAAATTTAGAGTTTGGAATTATCTCTATATTTTAATTCTTTTGGAGTATCATTTATGCTTTCCTAAAGCATTAAACCAGATATATCTAAGCACACACAATACATGATAAAATAGTTTTAGTCCCAACTATGGTTCCACTGTACTTTTACAATTTCTGGATATATTTATCACATTACAATGTTTTCCCTGTAGACAATTCAAGCAAGCAACTCCTCTCTGTCAATGTGACAAGTTCCAAGTTAGAATCAAACTTGGATGATTTGACCAAAACCAGAAGCTATCTATCCTTTGTAGACAATGATGATCTAAATACTGGCACTGGAATTACTTGGATGAACTTGTTGTTCTACATTTAATTAGAGGTTTTCCTCGCTGGCCCAGGGAGTGTCACAGGGGATACTGTCAAATAAAAATGATTTTATCTTTGAAATCACAGAATTATTCTATAAATAGGAAGCATGAGAAACCAAATGATTGATTATATAATTCAGGATTAACAAAGATATGTAAATCAATGAATTGCTCAAGTAGATATCAAATTAACTAAATTATTCAAGGGCCATTTACCCACTAGATAACCAGTATTGATTGATCTCATTTCCATTACAATTTTTGGACATTTTACTTTTTATTAACAGAGAAAGACAGTAAATAAAAGATAGGAACACAACACTCAAATCAATTTAAAAATATTTGGTAGCATTAGTAAAAAAAATGAATTTAAGTCACATAGATAACGTGTTTAAACAGGAGTGACTTTTAATCATTTGTACAGCTTTCATCTCTCCTATGCACAGAAAATTAACAGCGTGGCACACTTGGGTGAGGTGGTGTGGAACAGCAAGAGAGGGAGTACATAAGTCAGAGAGGAGCATGAGTGAGAGAGACTGAGGAAAAGCCTCTGTGACCATTTCAGTTAAGTGAGGGTTACTTGGAATAACATAGTAGCACCTGATTTCTATTTCTACAATATTTTGTAAAGTATTTGTATACTCTTTAAGTCCTATCTTCATAGGATACTTATATTAAGCAGTTGCCTAGAGTAAAAAACCCTCCAAGAATTAGATTCCCTTATTATTAGAAACTAGAGGCTCAGTGCATGAAATTCGTGCAGGGCGGGGGCATCTGGCCCTCAGAGGAGTCTAAAACCGGTCCAGTCAGACATCCCTCTCACAACCCAGGACTGCTGGCTCCCAACAGCTCGCCTGCCTGCCAGGCTGATCATCCCCTAACCGCTTCTGCCTGCCAGCCTGATCATCCCCTAACCACCTCCCTGCCAGCCTGATCGTCCCCTAACCACCTCCCTGACAGCCTGATCATCCCCTAACCACCTCCCTGCCAACCTGATCAACGCCTAACTGCTCCCCTGCCAGCCCGATCACCCGCAACTGCCCTCCCCTGCTGGCCTGATACCCCGCAACTGTCCTCCCCTGTAGGCCTGATCACCCTCAACTGCCCTCCCTCTTTGGCCTGATTGTCCACAACTACCCTTCTCTGCTGGCCATCTTGTGTCCACATGGGGGCAGCCATCTTGTGTGGAGTGATGGTCAATTTGCATATTATCCTTTATTAGATAAGATGTAGGACAGAGTCACAGAATGAAATTCTTATAAGATACTCCCTCACCTTAAGCATCTCTTGTTACCCAATTATCTGTGTGCGTCTAAACACGGCAGAACCCTCAGTCCACTCTGTTTGGAAAGAGCAGCGTGGTGCAGAGTCCAGGCCTTGGAGCCAGGAAGATCCCTCTTCCCATCTGAACTCTGCCGACTACCAGAAAAAGCTTCAGTTGCTGCATTTCTAGAGATAAAAAGAATCTCTTCCGTTTGCTGTAAAGATACATGAAATTATGTGGGGAAAGGCACCTTGCAAGGTGGCTGGCACTGAATACTTACTTACCCCTGTTCCCCCTGAAAAGATCTGCTTAAGTGACAATCAACTCTGCTTTCCTTACAAAAATTGGCAAAAAAATTTATATGATGTTTTTAAGTGTAAATGTTGAGTAACAAACATTCCTTTTGCATTTACTAAAATTATTACATTAGAAAATAATATACAAAGATATGTGTATATCTATATTCATATCTATATGGAGAAAGAGAGAGAGAAGGAGGGGGAGGGAGGGAGGGAGGGAGGGAGAGAGAGAGAGAGAGAGAGAGAGAGAGAGAGAGAGCACTTTACCTGTTTGAATTGAAAACTTCTGGGAGATGAATGTGATTTCATTCCTATGTACTGGAAGAAGTACGTAGTATGTGATCTAAAAAATTTCACTTGATGAACCTTAAAAACTATTTTTTTCACTCT